CCTTTAGATAAAAAGTTAATAGCCTAACTGTGCATTTGGCAGAAAGGTGACAATAATGCATGTTAATTTCCTTTTGTACTAGGTAGTGACGCCAATGCTTCAGGGACTGAACTATGGCATAGAACTCCAGATCATAAGTGGAATAATTTTTCTTTGATCCCGATAGTTTTCACTGAAAAAAGCAACCGGACGACCTGCCTGACTCAGAACACCACCAATGCCAACGCCAGATGCATCACAATTTACCTCGAACACTTTTTCAAAATCTGGAAGTGCCAAAACTGGAGCCTCGGTCATCTTCTGCTTGACCAGTTGAAAACTGGCCTCTGCCTCCTCAGACCACTGGAAATCACGCCCCTTGAGGCACTCTGTGATAGGGGCGATCAGAGTACTGAAATTTCTAATGAATCGGCGGTAAAAAGACGCCAAGCCATGGAAACTTCGGATGTCATGTAAGGTCTTTGGTCTGGGCCACTCCAAGACTGCATCTACCTTTGACTGATCTGCATGAACACCATCAGTAGACACAACAAAACCAAGAAAATTCACAGAAGTAGTGAAGAAAGAACACTTCTTTTGATTGACAAACAAGCACTCCGTTTTCAGTATCTCAAAAACAGCACGGAGGTGATCGAAGTATGAAGTCCATGTCGGACTATAAACGAGGATATCATCGAAGTAAACTACAACAAATTTCCCCATAAAAGGCCGCAAGACCTGATGCATAAATCTCATGAACGTACTGGGTGCATTGGATAGCCCGAAAGGCATGACCATCCACTCATACAACCCTTGTGGCGTTTTAAACGCCGTTTTCCACTCATCTCCAGGTCTTATTCTGATTTGGTGGTAACCACTCTTAAGGTCAATTTTTGAGAAGACCTTAGAACCAGATAGTTGATCCAATATATCATCTAGACGGGGAATTGGAAACCGATACTTAACTGTAATTTTGTTGATCGCTCGGCTGTCAACACACATACGCCAAGAACCATCTTTCTTTGGCACTAGCAGAGCAGGGACTGCACATGGGCTCATACTCTCTCGGATATAGCCCCTCTCCAACAACTCTTCCACCTGTCGCTGCAACTCTTCAACCTCTTTGGGACTGAGACGATATGCTGGTCGATTTGGAAAACTTGACCCAGGAACAAGGTCAATTTGATGCTGAATATCCCTCATAGGTGATAGCCCAGGAGGAAGATCCTCTGGCATCAAGTTAGAGAATTCTGCTAGCAGCCGCTGCACTTCTACTGGTAAATCTGCATCCACGTCTACTGCATTGTTCTCACAAGGTAGTAAGGCATAGACCACGTCGCCATGCTCAATCTCATCTAAAAACCTGGACATAGAAAGCAGAGTAGTATTATGGGTTACTGGGGTAGGAGTGAGTCATTCCCGCCGGGGTGCCAACACAATCTTTTTTCCCTTGATGCTAAGGGAATATGTATTCTTCCGTCCATCATGAATGACACTGCGATCATACGTCCAGGGTCGACCCAACAATATATGACACGCATCCATAGACACAACATCACACCAGGCATTATCAAAATATTTTCTACCAATTGAAAAAGACACGAGGCATCGCCTATCAACTGTTACCTCATTGCCTTTATTTAGCCATGACAACTTGTATGGCTTAGGATGATTGTCCGTCTTCAACTGCAATTTCTGGACAACCTCCTCGGACACTACATTCTCACAACTGCCGCTGTCAATGATCATTTTGCAGACTTTATCTGCAACTGTGCAGGTCGTGTGGAAAATATTGGTTCTCAACCAATCGTCCCCTGAATCGCCCTTGGGAGTAAGTAGACTCTTACGAACGACCAGAGTCTCATGACCATCTCCATACAGCACATCATCAGTCTCATCATCGTCATACACGGGTTCGCCAATCTCCACAGTCTCGTCTTCCGCGTTTTCCTCAATCAACAAATTTTTGCCCTTTTGACTAGCAGGCTTCCTGCAATCAGTCGCCCTATGCCCTTGTTCACCACAATGAAAACATCTAATAGTAGGGTTAGAATTACCCTGCGGTGGTTGTTGAGCAGGACGGGAATCCTGAGGACGAACTGGCCGACTGTTGTGATCGTTCCTGATCACTGGTCTCCTGTTTTGCTGTTTTTCAACAGCAAGTGCACGCTGGTAAGCTTCCGAAACACTCCACAGTGAATGAAGGCTGAGGACATCTTGTAAGGGCTGGCGTAAACCCCCCAAATACTGCGCCACCATTTGCTCCTCCGTCTCAGATAAATCGTTCCGGGCGACCAATTGGTAAAACTTCTCCGTGTAATCATCGACTGATCGTGCACCCTGCCTCAACGCATGAAGTCGTTGAAACAAGGTTTGCGTGTAGCCGAAGGGAAGGAAGTGACCCTTCATCTTCTTCTTCATCTTCTCCTAATCAATGATCTTGGCCTTGCCCTGTCTTTCTCGTGAACGTCGCAACTGTTCCCACCACGCAGATGCTCTGCCCTTGAGTTTGATGGCGATCAGTTTCACTTTCACACGATCAGGGACTTCCTTATATTCAAAAATATGCTCTACTTCATTAATCTAATCCACGAATCCCTCGGCCTGTAACATACCAGAAAACTCAGGGAGATCGACCCGAAAACCGAGGTCTCCATGACGCTCTTCCCGACCATTGTGTTCCCGGAATAGAGCACGATTGTGATATGGGTTTTCGAAAGCGGAATTGGTATCGTGATCAGAGGCCTCACGATCCTCGAAATCCTGCGCCGCCAGGCGCTGGGTTAATTCTGCGACTTGCCTCTGTAAATCCGCAATCATCACATCCTGAACGTTGCGATCACGGCATTGGACTTCCTCATTCGGAACCTGCTCACGATGACCACGACCTCCAGCCATTGAAACTGGTGAAATTTCCCAGGAAGATGTTGAAGCTCTAACACCAACTGACGCCAGACAGAATAGTGATTATCCTGCAAGCGCTCCAACAGATGATTCACAAGAGAAAATTCGCCCAAAAAAATCCAGAGAAAAAAAGTCTCTAGGGTTTAATAAAATATTATCAAATCAAACAATGCCAAAATCAGTCTACAAGCCAGACTGTTATAGCCAAAAATCGTATTTATTCGAATTTTGCCAAAAATAGCAAAATCCCGAAAATCACTCTAAATTGAATTTCGAAATAAAATAAGCAATCTCCAAAAAATCCGGCCTAAATTGGATTTAAATTGACTTCCTAATTGACAATCGAAATATTATCATAAATAGTAAACAATATCTAATTCTAGTGATTCGGAGGGGAAAATGGCAGAATTTGAGGTTGATAAAAGGCCACATGGAGCGTAGGTCATGTGGAGAGCGTGCGCGTCGAAAAGAGCTTTCCGGATTGGGGTCTTATGCGCTATTCTGACACCTGTAGCCAAAGTTATGGCCAAAAGACTGAAACATACTCAAAACGACCCCAATGAGGAACATGTCACAATCAATTCCCGCCTTTGCGCTGATCTGGCAATTCATGGTATCTCAGCGCCATCAAGGTGCAATCTGACAGCTCAGCATCATCTGTCTCGGATCCCCCTGCATCAAAGAGTGATGTTTACAGTTTTGGAGTGGTAATGCTTGAACTTATAATTGCTAAACAACCTATTGAGAAAGGTAAGTACGTAGTGCGCGAGGTGAGAACCATGATGGATAAGAAGGATGACGAGCACTACGGATTGACGGAGTTAATGGACCGAAGCATAAGAGGCTCAGGAAATCTACTAGGATTTGGAAAATACTTGGACTTGGCTCTGCAATGTGTCGAAGATTTAGCCACCGATCGTCCAACGATGAGTGAGGTCGTAAAGGCCTTCGAAACCATCCTGCAAAACGACGGGATAAATACAAACTCAACTACTTCGGCCTCTTCGTCTACCACTGATTTCGGAGCTACTAAAGGTTCTCTAAGACATCCATATTCAGATACTTTACATAAGAAGGATGCCAATGTGAGTGAAAGTGATGCTTTCGACTATAGTGGTGGGTACACAATTTCTGCAAAAGTTGAACCCAAGTAATTTTGTTCTGATTTCTTTTCTCACAAGTTTTTCCTTTTTTAGATCATCAATATCCTTTACATATGTACATGGAAGGGAGGTACTCTTACATATGTAGGATATATATACACATACAAGTAAGGAAGCTTAATTTAGTGAAAAGGTGTGACTGCATTTTCATACTGTTGGTTTTGCAAAATGTTCGTGTTTCCTGCTAGAAATGTAATACTACCATTTTTCTTTTCTTATGAACCAATGTTTTCTGAATTAACCAATAATTTTAACATTATTCTCGATACGAATTACGAAAATAAATAAGAAAAACCACAATGTTCAATGACAAAATTACAAGAGTATTGTAAAATGCATACATGTATTTTTTATATAAAAATGTATATTATATTAAGTGACATATGAAGATTAAAATAAAGAGAAAATTATAACGTGGAGAATTATTTTGAAGAGTTGGAATAATGTTTTAGAATATATTATGTTTTAGTATATATATCAAATTTTTAGATACATAAGATGTCATTTATTTGTACTATAATCTCTATGTTTATAGTAGATTATTATTTTTTTCATCTGTAAAAGTAGGTAAGAGATAAATCATATTAAAATATACCGTCTCTTGCATGTGCCTTGTTATATGTTGCTCTTACATTGTTTATTTTTCCGCTCTTAAATTCTTAAGATGCTCAATAAATCATATTAAATACTGTCTCTTCCGTGTTTCTTGTTATATGTTGCTCTTGCATTGTTTATTTTTTCCGCTCTTAAATTCTTGAGATGCTTGATGATCAAGGTACAAGTGATCGTATGTATGTTTTAAAAGTTAAGTGATCATAATGTAAGATCCCTAGAATTACAGAGACCATTTTTATAATTTACCCTATAAATATCTGAATTTCAAAGTTGAAGTAAACCAAATCAATCTAAAAAGAGAAAAAGCCCGGGGGAATCACAATCCAAAATAAACTTGCTGTGTTTGTCGATCGAAACTGGTGAGCAATGGAAGAAGAGAATAATAAGCGATGGGATGTAGCGTACACCAAGCACATCAATCAGAAGCTTAAAGTTTATCATGAAGGTTTCTTAGATCTTCACATTCCAACCAACAAGGTTTATTATCCTTCTTTCTCTTATCCCTTTTCTCCCTTTGTTTTCTACTCCTATTTTGGTGGTAATCATGGCTGCCTCCGAAGCTGAAACTATACGATGAGTCCGACAAGCTTCTAGAATTCAGGATGTTGAGAAAAGATGAAGTCGTTAGCGATGGCCAAACCCTCACTTTCGCTCCCTATTCTGTTGACGTTGGCACTCTTCAGTCCCCTCCTCATCTTAATCCTTTAGATACCAGATGGAAGAGAAATGAAGGCAGGTCTATGAATCGAAGTCTGAGCCCTTCGCAAAAGATAATCAGAGGTTAGTTGTTTCATCTTTCTTTATTTGTCTAATACAATTGGATTGTTGTTCATTTCCCAATATTTTTGCTACCTTGATTTCCTTTTTACATGTACAAATTTTACTTGCGTTTCAGAATTCAAGAAGACTGAAATTCGAAAATATGTTGCTCAACAAACGGGTCCAACTGCAACAATATCTAGTTTCTCAGGTTAGTTAATGAAACGCTGCACTATTTCTTAATACTAAATGGAGCTTTTTGAATGACTAATTGCTATTCACAATCTCAGCCCTGCTAGATATCAGTCAGTTTTCATGTTGCCACTAGTAATCAAGCATGTTCTTTAGTTTCTATGTGAATAACTTGTATTTGTCTCGATGACTGTTCTTATTCATTGTACAGCTAAGTGCATTATTTCTATCTGCCAGGAAATAGAAAAAAACTCTCTTCATTGTGGGGAGCAAAGGTTTTTTCTGAAAGTTGGTACTAGTCTCACTTTGATGTTTTCTTTCACTTTTGGATTTCCCAAAAATCATTTTAACCCTATGAAAACCGTATATTGATTCTCATCATTCTGGAAAAAGACTTCTTGTTCCAAATTCCAATTTGCATCAAGCTGAACCTCAAGCACCCAAAACTATCTCTGTGTTAGACAAATTCTGGTTATTCCTATTGGTAGAATCTTTGTGTAGGAAGAATCGGTCCAATTATCTGCTCCTCGCTTCTTCAGAAGCACAGATTGAGTTCTTGACTATATCTGTTTCATTTGTTTATCCTTTCTCATGTGTTGAAATATGAGTTTTCATTGACTTCATCTAAAAGTAGTTGAGCTTAAGTTGCTCAGAGTGAATGGTGAATCTTGATCCAGACCTCTCTCCAAACCAGTGATTGAAAAGATACATGTTGGGGAATGAAAGTGAATTAATTTCCTTGATAAATTTTGAACTGCTGATTCCTAATTGAAATATTGATCTTTCCTATTGCATTTACCTTACCACCAGTTTACCTTCCTAGGAGGGGTTTACCTGATGCATTTCTTTGTTTTATAGAGCTATAATTTGGTGGCATGCAGGGCAGATTTCTTTTTCCAGTTTTATCGGTGTTATTCCCACTATCAAAATTTCCATTTGTTGGGATGCCATCTGCTTTTGAGATCTTTATACTGAAAAAAAAAATCTCTCTATGTTTTTCTCTTTCAAAAGGATTTGTCTCTCATTTCTCAATATTTTGAGGGGATCGGTACTTTTGGAAAACGAATGGAAAAATAGTGCTGAAACTTGACTTGCAAGCTACCTAATGATCAATGCATAGATCAATATTCACATTTAGCTAGGTGTGTCTCTCTTGGGATAAGATCCTCCCAATGCCATAGTTTGGATTTTGTACCCCATTTGAAGTAAGGAACCATTTCATATATGTTTTAAAATTTAAATAGCTTCTGTTTTGAAAGAGTTGAAAAGGCACTTATCTCATTGAAAGGTTCTATTTCTATACATGCACCCTTTCTCATATCTTCAGACAGACTCCATGCTTTTCTGCTTTGGTATCTTATTGATCAAACTTGTGGCATTGTTCTTTCATTGATAAAAAGTTTAGGAATTATTCCGATCATTCAATAAGAAAGGTTCTGTTTTTTTTTTTATAAAGAAAATGATTTGAAGACCTATTAATGTTAACCTATGTTACCCAGACTCTTTGTTTTCTTTAAAGTACCAATGTTCAACTCCTATGTTCAACATATACTTGGATGTGAGTCTAGGTGGTAGATCCTCCAAATATATGGAAAAACTTGAAAAAAAAAGTGTAGTGATGTCCGACACATACCATATCCATGACTCACCTAGAGTCTAGTTAACATAGCATCTAACAATTGATTGTCAACTTGTTCATTTAGACGTTTCAATTCATAGACGTGGATCTCAGACCTATTTATGGGGATATTCTTTGGGGGAGGTGGCAGGTTGGTTGACTATGTGCATGCGGAACTCTATGTTGCTTTTACACTTAAGTTTTTTTGAAGTACTTGTGTCTATCATTTGTCCAGTTAGACATGAGTATAGAGGTCCAGCCCTCCAAATATTTGCTAAACTATAAAAATGTGCAATCTCCTATTGGATGTATTGGATTCGATACTCACTCTTGAGTTCAAGTAACCGTGTCAACACCTACATTTTGGATTTAATTCTATATTGTATTTTAGTCAATTTTAATCTAAACTTTTTAAAGCTAATTGTTGATCTAATTAGGAATGAAAATCATTGCAAACAATCAGTCAATACTTTGTAATTCAAAGAAAAAAATCACTCAACTCTATTTCATAATATTAAAAAAAAAATTCACTCACTTCTCTGTTTTATAGTGGCACTACAAAACTTTGTTTATGCAAATGATCGTAAGTTTTCCAAATTGGACAACAATTGAATTTGTGCAATATACAAGGAAAACATATTTCTAGCTTTAGCTTTGCAAATTCGACGTTGAATCCAATCTCTGAGGCACACTTGATTGTGTCGTTCCACGTCAAAAAACAATTTCCATTCACCTCATACCATGGAAAATAAAGCATCTTTGTGAAAGAGGCCAAGAGTATGATATATGTTCTTAGGATCACGTCATAGTGCATCACACAATGCATCAAAATATTTCGATAAATCTAATGCACCTACTATAGAGAACTTAGGATATTCCACTAATATACCAATTCTATGACGTTGATTAGTCTTTATACGATAGTGCACAATAATACTTAAACGGCAGGACTAATCATATCATTTAGGTGACAAATTTTACCATATATCAACGAGACGATATAACCGACCATATATTAAATAGACGGCAGAGCCGGCCATATAATAAAAGTAACTCAAGTGCACTAAGAACTTAAAATAAACCAAGGCTTAATTGAGAAGCGAATACTTTTATTAATACAAAATACAATTATAATATTACACTTACCTCACTAATATTACACACTCACCTCACTAATGTTCTCTTATCTTCCTTTAAGTTCTCTTTATCTAACTCGTACATTTGGCGCTCATTTTCTCATTTTTCACTCTTATTATAATGGTAAAATTCACCACTATTTATAGATTTTAGTGACCATTAGATTGTTGACACATATTAACATCTTAGTCATTTAATCTAAAATATTCCCAAGATAATTATAGAGAATTCTAGATATAATATCTTAACCATTTAATCTAAAATATTTATATGACGTTGATTAGTCTTTATACGATAAAATTCACCAATTCTATGACGTTGATTAGTCTTTATACGATAAATTCTTAGTGCACAATAATACTTAAACGGCAGGACTAATCATATATCATTTAGGTGACAAATTTTACCATATATCAACGAGACGATATAACCGACCATATATTAAATAGACGGCAGAGCCGGCCATATAATAAAAGTAACTCAAGTGCACTAAGAACTTAAAATAAACCAAGGCTTAATTGAGAAGCGAATACTTTTATTAATACAAAATACAATTATAATATTACACACTTACCTCACTAATATTACACACTCACCTCACTAATGTTCTCTTATCTTCCTTCAAGTTCTCTTTATCTAACTCGTACATTTGGCGCTCATTTTCTCATTTTTCACTCTTATTATAATGGTAAAATTCACCACTATTTATAGATTTTAGTGACCATTAGATTGTTGACACATATTAACATCTTAGTCATTTAATCTAAAATATTCCCAAGATAATTATAGAGAATTCTAGATATAATATCTTAACCATTTAATCTAAAATATTTATATTCTTCTAATAGATAATTCTAGATATGATATCTTAACCATTTAATCTAAAATATTCTCAAGATATATCTCTTAAATGATAATTATATATTTATCTAGAATTTACTTTAGATTTCAACAATAAGTCCACATGTTCCTCATTCTTGATGTAGCTTGCATAATATCTTCCCTATTCTCCCTGGTCTCATGTTCACTCCACATCCTTCTATCCAAGGTCAATGCTTCTTTGTACGTTCTGTCATCCCTTAAGCTTCTCGGAGACTCAGCTCCCTCTCTGAACCTTCTTTTTTTCATCTCAATTTGACTTATTGGCTTCCACTTGGGCCTTGCCTGCACCAACTTCCCTTGTTCGAGATTTATGATATTTTGCAACACCCACTAATACTCTCCTCCCATCAATCCACATTCCATTAACATTTTGGAGGTTTTGTATTTTGGCTTGTTCATTACACTCGGGATGAAGACCCTCACAACTGGACCCTGATGATAGAAAAGTTCCCTTAACGCTCGCCTTTAAACTCTCTTGCTTAGATTATCCACGAACGTTGTCCATTCCTCACCAGAGGAGAAATGATCTTTCAAATTCTTTCTCTCTCCCTCACTTCCTCTCGCTCTCATTCTCCCTCTAAACAATCAGCTGAACTAAATAAAATCTAAGCTGCTGACATTCCTTTACGTCAGCTAATTTTCACTTTCATGTGCTCGGTGCTCCTGAGTTTTATATCTATTATTATTTCTGTAACACTTCTCTCCAGAAAACTGACTTTATACCGTTCATTTATCAATTTTTCCCTTTTTATGAACCCTAGTGTGATATTTTCTAAATCTGAACTGACCACTAGAATTTTTCTGTCCCTTTCTTTGTTGTGTACAAGATTGTTTTTAGCTCTAGTAAGTTTTGAAGTTCTACTTTTGTTTTTTTTAAGAGGTCTCTTTTTGTTCCTAGTTTTCTTGGTTGCTTTTAGATTCAGATAATCCCATCTGAAATTCCTCTGGCTTAATTTTTCAGGAATATCTCAAAAAATTGCTTCTTCAAAGGTATGCGCAGATCCAACTTTTAGCATCCCAAGTATTGCTGAGACAGAATCAAGCCAGAATATATCTGCACACAAGCCTTTACGTGATGGTAAATGTATTCTTATCTTTATCTCATCATCATACATAACAAAGCCAACACCCTTCAAGAGAATTTCTCCTGTGTCATGTACTCGAGACTAAATTAAGTGATTTTGGTACATGGTGTTTATATGCTAGTTCCTGCTCAGATGTAAACTTTAACGATGTTTACAATATGCTTGCTTGGGAAAAATAAGTGGGAAAAATGAAAAAGAATGTGAAACTGAGGTCTTATTGAAGTCCAGTTCCTAAACCAATGAATGCTTTCGATTAGTGTTGCACTGATGTAAGAATTAATCATCATATGTTTTACCTCTGAAGCTAATCTAATCCTGTCCATCCTCCGAAAACCTATGATTCAAGAGACCACTACCACACAGTCTATTAACAAGAACATCATGAATCCAATCCCCTCGGTGAAGGAGCCTCGCGATTCAGTTCCAGTAAAAATATTCTTGAATGTAAACTGCCAAGGATGTCAATTGCACATCAGGGATCAAGTGGAAAATTGGATAATATCAAATCAAAATGCACTGACATAAAACTTTCCCCTGATATCTCTTCTGAAGGCAAGTTTAAGGTCTATCATTTGAAATGGCAATATTATTTGCTTCTGGATTTCCTTAAATTGTCACTAAAATATCCATAGAGGGACATGGTCCTAAGCAGAATGAATAGCGTTTTCCATCATATGGGAAATGAAAACTATTAGCCCTTAATGATTTTGTCAATAACTGTTGATAATGTTCTGATCAAGGTTGGATTCAGTAAGCAAATCCAGTTGTAGCGGCAAAAACTCCTCCAAGAACACTGAATTTGGAAAGTTGCATCTGGTTTGGGCTGTGTTAACTTTACTGCGTCCACAATTTTCATCTTTTGTTGCATGCACACCAGCTGATTATTCCTGTTTCATATGTATGAACTTTATGGGGTCTTTGTCTTCTTCCCTTCTAATTGTAAACCTCAAGAATGTTGAAACGATAGATAAAAATATATCAGAAACAAATGTCGTTATATCCTGCATCGGGTAGCTTAAATTCTTTAACCAAGCAAACAAATTCGCCATTTGTATAGGCATTTAGATCATTAGATGGTAGGTTGTGTATGTTGGACGGTATGAAAATCTAACCATGTGAAAACTTAAAAATCTCTTTTGGAGCAACTATCTCTTACAGTTGAGTGTTATTACAACCATGTGGAATGTTACATGCAGGCTCACTTGAAGGATTCAGAATCATATACTAAATGCTGTATGAAGCATCTGTGCCTGATAGCTTGAGTCGAGTTGTGCATACTTATGAGAGAGTGGATGTCATGAAGGATTGCGCAGACGTCAAGAATTCAAGGGAAACAGATAGTTGCCCTAGTTTTGAGATTGGGTTTGACTGAGAGTGATTGCAGCACCCAAAAAAAAAAAACAATCAGATGAACTTTTAAAACATAAACTTTCTGATTAGTTGCCATTGATGGGAGAGTATTTAGTCGGAACCAGTGTCTCCAAGTGACCCCCGCAATATTGACGCCAGACAAGAATAGTGATTATCCTGTAGGCTAGCTCCGACAGACGATTCACAAGAGAAAATTCGCCCAAAAACCAGAGAAAAAAAAGTCTCTAGGGTTTAATAAAATATTATAAAATCAATAAATGTCTCAAAAGCAGTCCACAAGCCGGACTGTTATAGCTAAAAAAATCGTCTTTATTCGAATTTTGCCAAAAATAGCAAAAATCGTATTTATTCGAATTTTGCCAAAAATAGCAAAATCCCGAAAATCACTCTAAATTGAAATTCGAAATAAATAAGCAATCTCCCAAAAATCCGGTCTAAATCGGATTTAAATTGACTTCCTAATTAACAATCGAAATATTACCATAAATAGTAAAAAATAACTAAATCTAGTGATTCGGAGGGGAAACGGCAGAATTTGAGGTTGAAAAAAAGGCCACATGGAGCGTAGGTCATGTGGAGAGCGTGCGCGTCGAAAAGAGCTTTCCGGATTGGGGTCTTATGCGCGATTCTGACACCTGTAGCCAAAGTTATGGCCAAAAGACTGAAACATACTCAAAACGACCCCAATAAGGAACATGTCACAATCAATTCCCGCCTTTGCGCTGATCTGCCAACTCATGGTATCTCAGCGCCATCAACGTGCAATCTGACAGCTCAGCATCATCTGTCTCGGATCCCCCTGCATCAGTCGCCCCGGGTTGGAAAGAACTCGTCCTCGAGTTCAGAGTAGTGTCATCAGGATCCACAAAACAATGACTCAGGTGCTTCACATTAAAGACATCAGAAGTCTTCAAGTGACTGGGAAGTCGCAACCTGTAAGCATTATCATTGATCTTCTGCACGACCTCACAAGGTCCAATCTTCCGATCCTTAAGCTTATTATACTCACCAACAGGAAAACGATCACGAGTTAATACAGCCCAAACAAAATCACCAACATCAAAAAGTACCTGACGACGATGATTGTCGACCCGAGTCTTGTACTTGGTATTGCTCTCATGAATGGTCTGTTTCACCTGCTCATGGATACCCCGAAGATACTTTGCCATCTCATCTGCTTTAGGACTGAAACGTCCTATACGTGGAATAGGGGCTAAGTCCAACACCCGGATGGGTTCTGACCATAGACAATCTCAAATGGGCTTAAACCTGTGGTTCTGTTTTTGATCTGTTGTAGGCAAATTCTGCCTGAGGCAATGCCAAATCCCACTGCTTCGGCTTCGTTCCTGCCAAACACCTTAAAAGGTTTCCCAAACTTCGGTTCACCACCTCAGTCTGGCCATCCGTCTGGGGGTGGTAGGCGCTACTGAAATTCAACTGCGTTCCCAGTTTCCCCCACAGGCTCTTCCAGAAATGACTGATGAACTTAGTATCACGATCTGAAGTGATGGATCGAGGAACACCATGTAAACGCACAATCTCCTTGAAATAGAGATGGGCAATCCGGTCAGCATCCATAGTCTTTCTGCAAGCTACAAAATGAGCCATCTTGGAAAACCTGTCAACCACAACAAAGATAGAATCAGAGGCCCTTTGGGTGCGGGGTAAGCCTAGTACAAAATCCATGCTGACATCGAACCAAGGAGCTTCAGGAACAGGTAAGGGAGTGTACAATCCGCATTGGTGAGAACTCCCTTAGATCGCTGGCACACATAACAACGGTCCACATAATGGGCCACATCACTAGTCAACTTGGGCCAATAAAATTCAGAAGAGATAAGGGCCAATGTCTTATCTCGGCCAAAATGTCCCTCATTATGGAGTTCACTTATAATTTGCTGCCTCAATGAACAATCTGGAATGCACAATTGTAATCCACGAAACAGATACCCATTATGCAAAACAAAATCATGACGGTGACCCTCAGTTACCTCCTGAAATATCCTTCCAAAGGAAGGATCAGCTGCATACATATCTGTGAACGTCTCAAATCCTGCAACTTTAGTACTCATGGTGGTGAGAAGTAAGGTACGACGGCTCAGGGCATCTGCGACGCGGTTCAAACTCCCTGCTTGGTGCCTCAGCGTAAAAGTGAATTCTTGCAAGTATGCTACCCACTTGGCATGACGTCTACTCAGCTTGTGTTGGCCATTGATGTACTTCAAGGCCTCATGATCGGTAAACAGAATAAACTCCTTCTGTACTAGGTAGTGACGCCAATGCTTCAGGGACTGAACTATGGCATAGAACTCCAGATCATAAGTGGAATAATTTTTCTTTGATCCCGATAGCTTCTCACTGAAAAAAGCAACCGGACGACCTGCCTGACTCAGAACACCACCAATGCCAACGCCAGATGCATCACAATTTACCTCGAACACTTTGTCAAAATCTGGAAGTGCCAAACTGGAGCCTCGGTCATCTTCTGCTTGACCAGTTGAAAACTGGCCTCTGCCTCCTCAGACCACTGGAAATCACGCCCCTTGAGGCACTCTGTGATAGGGGCGATCAGAGTACTGAAATTTCTAATGAATCGACGGTAAAAAGACGCCAAGCCATGGAAACTTCGGATGTCATGTAATGTTCTTGGTCTGGGCCACTCCAAGACTGCATCTATTTTTGACTGATCTGCATGAACACCATCAGTAGACACAACAAAACCAAGAAAAGTCACAGAAGTAGTGAAGAAAGAACACTTCTTTTGATTGACAAACAAGCACTCCGTTTTCAGCATCTCAAAACAGCACGGAGGTGATCGAAGTGTGAAGTCCATGTCGGACTATAAACGAGGATATCATCGAAGTAAACTACAACAAATTTCCCCATAAAAGGCCGCAAGACCTGATGCATAAATCTCATGAATGTACTGGGCGCATTGGATAACCCAAAAGGCATGACCATCCACTCATACAACCCTTGTGGCGTTTTAAACGCCGTCTTCCACTCATCTCCAGGCCTTATTCTGATTTGGTGGTAGCCGCTCTTAAGGTCAATTTTTGAGAAGATCTTAGAACCAGATAGCTGATCCAACATATCATCTAGACGGGGAATTGGAAACCGGTACTTCACTGTAATTCTGTTGATCGCTCGGCTGTCAACACACATACGCCAAGAACCATCTTTCTTTGGCACTAACAGAGCAGGGACTGCACATGGGCTCATACTCTCTCGGATATAGCCCCTCTCCAACAACTCTTCCACCTGTCGCTGCAACTCTTCGGCCTCCTTGGGACTGAGGCGATATGCTGGTCGATTTGGCAAACTTGACCCAGGAACAAGGTCAATTTGATGCTGATATCCCTCATAGGTGGTAGTCCAGGAGGAAGATCCTCTGGCATCAAGTTAGAGAATTCTGCTAGCAACCGCTGCACCTCTACTGGTAAATCTGTATCCACGTCTACTGCATTGTTCTCGCAAGGTAGCAAGGCATAGACCACGTCGCCATGCTCAATCTCATCTAAAAACCTGGACATAGAAAGCAGATTAGTATTATGGGTTACTGGGGTAGGAGTAAGTCCTTCCCGCCGGGGTGCCAACACAATCTTTTTTCCCTTGATGCTAAGGGAATATGTATTCTTCCGTCCATCATGAATGACACTGCGATCATACTGCCAAGGTCGACCCAACAATATATGACACGCATCCATAGACACAACATCACACCAGGCATTATCAAAATATTTTCTACCAATTGAAAAAGACACCAGGCATCGCCTATCAACTGTTACCTCACTGTCTTTATTTAGCCATGACAACTTGTATGGCTTAGGATGACGGTCCGTCTTCAACTGCAATTTCTGGACAACCTCCTCGGACACTACATTCTCACAACTGCCGCTGTCAATGATCATTTTGCAGACTTTATCTGCAACTGTGCAAGTCGTGTGGAAAATATTGGTTCTCAACCAATCGTCCCCTGAATCGCCCTTGGGGGTAAGTAGACTCTTGCGAACGACCAGAGTCTCATGACCATCTCCATACAGCACATCATCAGTCTCATCATCGTCATACACGGGTTCGCCAATCTCCTCAGTCTCGTCTCCACGTTTTCCTCAATCAACAAATTTTTGCCCTTTTGACTAGCAG